ACTCAATAAATATACATAAAATTAGGATTCAGACCAAACAGTAATGTATTGTAGTAACAAGCAAGAAAAAATTAATATTTATGGATAGGCTTATGATATCAGAATGATGCAGATATCAAAATGTAGCTTTTAAAGCCAGGAATCTGAAGATGTAGTTTGGTCATTTTGACCAAATTTGACTTAATCCTCATTTTGATATGCTTGGTTACATACAAAATAATGTTTTGTTTTCATCATGTCTCATCATAAAATGATCTTATTTTGAAGGATGGTGGGCGATATGCATTCAGGCCCTTAATTATGTTGTGTTTTTCTTTATAATTGCTCCATTCCACACCTGGCTGCTGTCACCGCAGAGTGCTGGCGTCATGTCTGTCTACCTGTTCATGAAGCGCTACACAGCAGAGGAACTCTACCAGCCTCGTCACCACCCCACCTTCTACCGGCCCCGCCTCAGCACCTGCTCCGACCACTCGGGTCAGTTCCTCCACCCAGACGTGTGGTCGCGCAGACGAAGCCCCTCAGACATCTCCAGTGACGCCTCCCTCCAGATGAGCTCCAGCTACCCTGCTCTCCTCAAGTGTCCTGACTACGACCAGGTGTCATCTTCGCCCTGCTGAGCAGCGGATCATCAGAACCAGACCTCAGGAGGTCCAGTCAGAGCYGAGTTGTGTTTTAGGAAAAAGACAGAAGTCAGATAGTTAAGTGTGAGTTTGTGTCACCGGCCAAAGGACTTCAGCTGTAGTTTTGCTTCAGCAGGTCACACAGGGCTTTATTTCTGAATTTATTGTAGAAGAAACTAAAGCTGTTTGTATGTAGGCAAAGAATCTGCAAAATCAATGTTTTTAAAATGTTCAAATTTTGTGTGGTAAATTTAGAGTGCTGATGTTTTAATGTGTCAATTCTTCAGCACTAAAAGGGGTTGATAAGCTAATGTTTCACCTGTAAAATAAACATATTGTCCAGCTTCATGTGGTTGTATTACTTGAAATTATCATAGAAGATATGATGGCGCAAGCTTTACCATACAGTGTACCTTTACTTGTATTTTTATTGATAAAGTACAAGTGCTGCTAAATATTCTGAATTTTACAGTATGTTATATGAAAATGTCAAATTTATGTTGTTTCCTTTTAAACACAACACTAAGTCCTATTCGCTCTCAGTTTTGTGATTTTAATTTGAAGCAAAGAAATACTTCAGCAGTTTATCTGCAGACGCTCTCTTAAGTTTAGAAGCTCTCGCTGCAGTTCTTCTCTTAAACAGTTGGTGTCGCTGCAGAGCAAATAATCTCACTGCACAACTGAAAGAACAGCAGAAGAAGAGTCATACCGGGAAAAACAAGTTTCAGTTCTGCGTTACTTTTAGACCACGTGTATGTTATCACTTTAAGTAGTTTTAATTTCTTGAGTTCGACTTAGCTTAATCGGGTCAGAGACTTTGAGGAAACTGTAGATAAACTAAAGCTAACAGATGTGGAGACAGCAGGCTGAACACCCGCCGGCAGATTAAAATGAACGGTCTCGTTTAAACGGGGAAAATGCAACACAACAAATTCCTGGAGGCTGTTTTCAACCCCACCATGTGCCTAGGCCTGTCACGATAACAGATTTTGCTGGGCGAATAATTGTCTCAAAAATTATTGCGATAAGCGATAATATTGCCTGGTGACCATTTCACAACTAATAATTATAAAAGCATTATATGTAAGTGTACTAAATCAATAAACTTTAATTTTTAAAGAATATTTAACAAAGTGGACTCCCAGTCTAACAAAAAATGCACTTGAAAAAAAACAACAAAGAACAACAAAATGTAAATTAAACACCACACACAACTAAGACAGTAAATAAACAATATTAAAGAGCAGCATCTCTTTATAGATGAGGCAAACTACACAGCCTGGTGAGGACCCACTGTTTCTTATGGGGACATAAGCCCAGTTCACATTCCATGTAAAGTTTAGGCTAGGTTTAGGGTCAAATGGTAATAGAAAATACTGGTAAATTAATGAAAGTCAATGCAAAGTCCCCATGAGGATAGAAGAACAAATGTGTCTGTGTGTGTGTGTGAGGAGACAAGCAGAGCGCTGCGGGAGGAAATCAGACAGTTCAGAGGTTTCCTCATGAGTTGTTGGGACGGCTACAGGTTTTTTGGGTGTTTAGTTAAAACACAGATGGTGCGTTTAAAGAGTAACTTACCCCAAAATTAACTTTTTTTAGCTGATAAACTGTCTAGAATGTGTCTAAAATGTTATATAGTACTG